GGCCCCGGCACACCTCCCCGAACTCCCCTGGGGGGCGGGGGGGGGCACGGGTCACCCCACAGCCCCCCCCCAGCTCCCTGGGGACACCACGGGGGACGCGGATGGGGACATCATTGGGGCAGGGATTGGGACACCTTCGGGGACATCAGTGGGGACATCGGGGGGACAGGGGTGGGGACATGGATGGGGAGATCTTTGGCTGGGGACATCGTTGGGGTCACTGTTGGGTCATTGTTGGGGACGTCGTTGGGGACGTCACTGGGGTCATTGTTGGGGACATCATCGGGGATGTCATTGGGGACATGGATGAGGAGATCTTTGGGGGCAGGGACGTCGTTGGGGACGTCATTGGGTCGTTGTTGGAGTCATTGGGGACGTTGTTGGGGACATGGATGAGGAGATCTTTGGGGGCAGGGACGTCGTTGGGGACGTCATTGGGTCGTTGTTGGAGTCATTGGGGACGTTGTTGGGGACATGGATGGGGAGATCTTTGGCTGGGGACATCGTTGGGGTCACTGTTGGGTCATTGTTGGGGACGTCGTTGGAGACGTCACTGGGGTCATTGTTGGGGTCATTGTTGGGGACATCATCGGGGATGTCATTGGGGACATGGATGAGGAGATCTTTGGGGACAGGGACGTCGTTGGGGACGTCATTGGGTCGTTGTTGGAGTCATTGGGGACGTTGTTGGGGACATGGATGGGGAGATCTTTGGGGACGGGGATGTCATTGGGGATGTCACTGGGGTCATTGTTGGGGACATCATTGGGGACGTCATTGGGGACATCGTTGGGGACGTCGTTGAGGACATCGTTGGGGATGTCGTTGGGGTCAATGTTGGGGACGTCATTGAGGATGTCGTTGGGGTCATTGTTGGAGTCATTGGGGACGTTGTTGGGGACATGGATGGGGAGATCTTTGGGGGTGGGGACGTCGTTGGGGTCATTGTTGCGGACATCGTTGGGGTCACTGTTGAGGACATCATTGGGGACATCATTGGGGATGTCGTTGGGGTCATTGTTGGGGACGTTGTTGGGGACATCATTGGGGACGTTGTTGGGGGCGTCGTTGGGGACGTCGTTGGGGACATGGATGGGGAGATCTTTGGGGGCGGGGATGTCGTTGGGGACGTCATTGGGGCCATCGCTGATGACCTCTCTAGGGACAGGGCCAGGGCCGTCATTGGGGACATCCATAGGGACGATGTTGGGGACATCGTTGGGGCTGGGGCGTCAGGTCTGGGCGGGGCCGTGCGGGGCCAGGGCGGCGCCGGGGGACGTCACCTGCCCCGATGACCTCCTCGATCTTGACGCAGGCGACGTCAATCTCCTGGGCGAAGTCCCTCAGGGCCACCCCGGGGTCCTCGTAGGTCAAGGGGTCAATGTACAGCTTCCCGCCTGCCACCGGCACCCGCGGTCACCCGCTGTCACCCGCTGTCACCCGCGGTCACCCG